GGGCAGAGTCGTATATCATGGGCAGAGTCGTATGTTATGGGCAGAGTCTATGTCATGGGCAGAGTTGTATGTCATGGGCAGAGTCGTATGTCATATGCAGAGTCGTATGTCATGGGTAGAGTCGTATGTCATGGGCAGAGTTGTATGTCATGGGTAGAGTCGTATGTCCTGGGTAGAGTCGTATGTCATGGGCAGAGTCGTATGTCATGGGCAGAGTCGTATGTCATGGGCAGAGTCGTATGTCATGGGCAGAGTCGTATGTCATGGGCAGAGTCGTATGTCATGGGCAGAGTCGCATGTCATGGGCAGATTCGTATGTCATGAGCAGAGTCATATGTCATGGGCAAAGTCGCATGTCTTGGGTAGAGTCGTATGTCATGGGCAGAGTCGTAGAATCTCACCGACTAGTCTAATTATGTTTCTATAGATTTGTTTGTTGATTAAAATGGTAAGAACCGTTTTAAAATCCGACTAAAAGTTTTTATTTTATATCATTTTATTAGACAAACATGGCAATACTGCCGTTTCGAGAAAAGTTTTAAAAAGACAGTTGGTGGTTAATTCACACCCTTAAATGTGTAATCTGACACAGTATCAAAGAATCCTTGTTAAAATTGCCGCTGGCGTGTACGAGTGACGAGTGGGGTAAATTCAGATTCTCTCAGCTTGGTCACTTTTAAAATAGGGTTAGTCAAAAAGGTATTTTTAAGGATAAAAAATTAAATCAAAATTAATTCTTCCTTCACATCAGTAATTCATAAATATGGCCTGCTCTTGCCTGCTCTTTGAACACGTTTTAGCATTTAAAGCCATCGCTCAGAAGGATGGAGTGGTTGTTCCTGTACTAAGTGATCCCAAATCACCTCTCTCCACACTGAATAAGGTAACATCATGTGGATGATACAGCCTGGCACCAGTTGTCGTAATGTTTCATTGTACCAATGTTATCCGCCTACGGGACTCCATCTCCGTGTTTCAATTCAGAGTTTCCTTTTCTTAGATGAGTTACCATCCAAGGTTAACGAGTCCCATCCACCCGGGGTGATGGTGATGTTTTTGCTTGACTGGACTTTGTTGGGGATTGAACTCCATACCATCAAATGAAGAAATTGAATAAACCCAGATTCAGGGATGACGACGACTGAACGCCTGACTCGGAGGTGTCACATGGGGCTTGCCTCTTCGTGGCGTGCCTGACTAGAATGGAGGTTCTCCTCCCGAAGCCAAAAAACCCTGCCACCTGCATGACTACCAACGCAACGGGAGAAATGCAACAACATGATTACTAGTTACCGTTAATGGATATGAGGCCCGGGTGGCGGTTCAAACCCTTGCCGATGATTTTAGCTGCGTGGCCTTGAGAAAGCCGCTCCTAAGCGACCGTTTCGTTTCGTCCCCGCATACGCCTCGACCGGAATACTCCCTGGACGGTGGGCGGAGGTAACGCAACACCTTTCCCCCGGAGAGGGAGCAAAGCCGCCCAGACCCAAGGAGAGTTGACGCGAACGCCTTAAACGCAGCGTTTTCAGACGACCGGAGGTCCCCCCGCGCTTCCGCACGGTCTGGCGGTGGGGAGACCCGTCGTCGGCCCGTGTGGGGGGGGGGGGGGGGGGGGAATAAAGAACCCGCGCCCGACGCCCCACGGACGCCACCCCCAATGTGACGTTATTAAAAAACTTAAATTTACAAAATTTACAAAGGGCCACTTTCGGNTTTACAAATGGCCACTTTCGGGGCCGAAACTTAAGTCGAAGCCGAAATTCGGTCGGTCTATTATATAAATCAATAAAGACACAAATCTGGTTTAGAAATGTCGGTAGGATTGTCTGTAGGACTGTCTGTAGGACTGTCGGTAGGACTGTTGGTAGGACTGTCGGTAGGACTGTTGGTAGACCTGTCGGTAGGCCTATGTTTAAGGCCGGCAGATAGGATGTAGGACTGTTTTCAAGCCTATTGTTAAAAGGCCAGCATGTGTTATAGAAAATTAGAAGTGAACTTTTTTTTTTATAACCCTTTGACCCGCTAGTATTTCTAATGGTATAAACCTCAAAGCCGCCATCACCCCCCCCCCCCTCCTTTTACCCTGTATTTTTTTCAGAAACCTGTTTAGTCTTATTGTGATATCCCAACAGTCCAGCCTTCGCCACCGATCGCCCGGTTTTCTGCGTCATCCACGTAATTCATTAGCAGACGGCGTGTGTAGCTTATACCTTCTCATTTGAAGTCCGACCCGAGTTCACGAACAGCCTACTTGGTTGATCTCCTTGACACCAAAATAGGAGTCTTTGAAACTAACTAAATAACATCCTAAAGAAAAGAAACTTTTGTCATTTAGGTCAATATTTTGTTTAAATGAATAAGTCTTAGTGTACTTTAGAACAATTCAGGGGAAATTGTAAGTGACACGTCACATCTGTGTCCAAATTGATTGTGAGATTTTCGTTTCATTTTAAGCCTTCGGTTTCGAGGTTTCGGTGAGGCATCGTTAGATGTATCAGATGGAAAGAAACAATACAAATCTTAAAACGTGTGGCTCAAAGGTTAAAGTTCATCATGTTTTTATTTTTTTTTTTCTTTTGATTCAGTTTTCTGACCTACAGGTCGGTTCGCGAAACAAGGATGTTATATCAAGACAAACTTTTGTCG